ATAATAAATGGAATGTATGATATGCAATTGTCTTAGTAATTATTATGTGTACTATTTATTTGAAACCTTGATTTTGTATTGTTTTGGATGTTTATGTCATTGTTTATTGATAATACATGAAGTAGAGAAATTCTTTGTTTGGAAAAAAAAATGGATTTTTCCTCTTTAGAGAGGAGTGGTGTTTCTCGAGCTTATTTTTGTTCAAGTAAAACCTTCTTCGCTTGGTAAAAAAATTTCTATGCGAAATGTTCTAAAGTGATAAATTTTTGCTCAAGTGATGTTTTTTTTGCTTAAGTGAAAGTGTGATGGTACTGATGTTATCTAAGATTATAAAATTTTCACTCAAACGAGAGTGCTAGCAATACAATTTTCACTCAAACAAATTTATTGTAGCCAAAATAAAGTAGATAAACAAGCTTATTCTTATTTCCACCCAAGTGAAAATATCTGAAAATCAATCTATTTTTATTGAATGTTTTTGAACTTTTATTGAAGTGAAATTAAAATATTATTATGTAATTATGTACTTAAGGTATAAGCTATGTGAAGTAGAATAGAATTTGAAATTAATGACCATAATTTATTGCTTGTGTTTGAGGTTGAGTAGAATGAGGGATTAATGCATGTAATCTATTATGAATTATTAATGAGATATGTAAAATTTCTTGTATTTGATACACTAGTTAATATAAATATAAAGATAATAACTATTCCTAATTAGATAATCATATAAATTATTAACCACTTCATACTTCATACATACCTTTTATGATGGATATTGTCCTGTGACTCCCGTTGGATTGATAATAGTCTGAAATGTGATAAATAAAGTTTAAAATATTTATATAATGTTATTCAGGAAAAATATAAGAAATAGGATACCATTGAGAAAATAAAAGAGTTGTAATTTTTTTTAATTAACTACAATATGATTATATAGTGTAAATGGCTTGTTGGTTGTTTTATAATTTTAATAAAAAAATATATGGATATTCTCAGATATTTTAACTATGATATACACAATTTTAAATAAATGTTATTATTTTATTCTCCAAATGTCTTTAAATTAAATAAAATAGTAAATTTTATACTATTTTTCATGTCGAACCAGGAAATATATTTAAAGAAAATAATATTGTATCAGTAATCCTATTTGTTTATATATATATTTATATATATATATATATATATATATATAATATCAATTTTTTTAATTGCTTTTTGATTTTCGTATGATTTGACTTTTAGCGGCAATTTTTTGATGATTGTATTTTTTTAATGAAGTCTGCTATTATCGTTTTAATTTTAATAAGTGGCTTTTAAGCATGTAAAAAGAAGTCTTTTTAAGTGCAGTAAGTAAGTACTAAGTATAATAAAAAATTGGGTAGAGTTGAAATTATATATATACCTGAACAACCTCCCTCAACATAGGGATTGGAACCGTAACCGTATGTGCAGGAACATCTCTGACCCGAACGATTATATCGTGAAGATGTAATATTAGTGTCAAAACAGCGGGAGAGATCATCTGGAGGAAGTTTAAGGTTTAAGTTGTTGGGAATCTCCCATTCAAGCACCACAGGGACCACATCCACATCCTTCATCTCACCATGGATAGGAAAGTAGTAGCCTTTGCGAGTATAATAAAGACTAAAATAATCTTGTACAACCATGGCGTAACTGCACTCACGATTCGTTTCATTCTCCTTCAAACCTTTTACTTCAGTGCTGTATTCTTTAAGATACGTTGGCAGGGAATTCTGACAGCAGGACTTCCCTTTACAATCACTTTTTTCAAGCTCCATTTTCCCGATATCATCCACCTTGAAGTCCTCGTCGCAGATGGACACTCAACCACTGCCTTCTGACCCATTCACCTGCAAAATAGTAATTTTATTGCAACCTTCGGCCACAAATTTGTTGTGTTCCTGCGAATACACGAAAGGGCTTCCTTCCAGCGACCGGTTCACCGGCGTAGAATCTCTGGTTCCGCAGTTATTACGGTAAATGGAATTGTTGATAGTAACCGTGCCTTGTTGGACATGAATGGATGTGACTTGCAGTCCTATTGACTTGAGGTAAGGTGTTTGATATGTGGAAGTGTTTCTGCATTCTATTTCAAACCATTTCCCTAAGTAGCATTCTGAAGTATTCATTCCAAACGGAAAGGGAATTTGAAGATCTCCACACTGCGAATCACAGCCAGGCTTTGCTAGTACTTGTGGGTAATCTTGTGCAGATACCTGTACATGTATAAACCATATTACCAAAATGATGAAATGGATTACCAATTTCAGAATCATTGCGTTTTGTTGGCTGCTTCAAGATTCAAGAGGTGTGTGTGCAGGCTTCCAACTTCTACCAAGATGGGTATTTATATTACATGATTTTCACGTCATTGCCTAATTTCTAACCAATAATTTCTTGGTTTCTTCTTAATGACTCACTGCTGAGCGTTGGTATTTAATCTTACTCATGTGAATTCTTGTGCCACTTTTCCACGCGTTTGAATAAGAGTTCTAACCGTGAGGAAAGCTATGTTGACAACCCTAAATTAATAAGATAGAAACATAGACAACGCCCGAGGTTGACAAAAACCAAAATTAGAAAAAGATAGCCAGGATATAAATGCCAATCTACAAACCTAATCCATTTTGTGTTATTATTTTAAATACAAAAATCATTTTATTTAATTGTTTGATTGAACTTTTTATTTTATGAGGTTCTTGTTAAATCAAATATTTTTATTAGGATAGAATTTATGATATTAATTGAAAATTAGCTTTTCATTTATTAATATATTTTTTATAAATGATGCAGGTGGTATCATCGATAACCTGACTTAATTTGAGAATTTGTAATAGGTAATATTAGATTGTGAATGTTGTTCCATCTAACAACAAAATATAAACAAAATACTCTATTGATTATCAATTTGCATTCTAGTGTATTTGAAGTCGTCTTTGGAAAATAATCATACAGGTTGGTTTAGTCCAAAATCAAAATTCTATATTTAAAGCGAAAATGACACCCTGAATGAGAGTCCTGACTTTTGCTTTGATTGAGTGGATGACCTCTGAAACCGTCAATACTGTCACTTCAAATCCTAGCTTCCCGGAAAGGTCTTCAGAGCATCTGATTTGACTTTTTCAAAAGCGGAGTAAATACAAAGATATTGAATTATGTGAAGATACAACTTTATCATGGTATATATTTTTGAGATATTATATTGTGAAAATCAATTGATATAATAAGAAATGACTCATTTATATAATATAAGTTAATGTTATTTTTAATCCATATAAATCTTCATACATCTTTTTATATATATATATATATATATATATATAAATTTATTTTTGAAAAATAATACTTTAACAATTTGATAATATTTTGACATAGCATACGTGTCAAAACGAGAGCAGTGAACGTGAAAAATAATTTAAAAAATTAAAATGACGTAGAAAGGAAGTTGGGGGAAGGGGTTTCAAGTTTTTGGGGTTGATTTCCAATATTCAGATTTTGAATCTTAGACTTTGGTAGAGAGAGAACAGAAGGTTGAGAGAGAGCGTGAACCCTAGAGAGAAAGTGTTCCCAACACGACCTTCACCTAGGCAGTTGCCTGAGCAGAAGTGGCCGTTCACGGAATTTGTACCGTTCACCGGACCGTCATCGTTCATCGAAGTCTTGTCTGCTGTCGTTCCACCGTCGTTCTGCGGTTTTGAAGCGCTTTGTATTAGGACACAGTAGATAACGCTTCTTAAGATAAGCACTATGACTATCCTGTTTCTTTTTCGTTTCGCTTTTTAGGGCTTCTTTTTCATTTCGCTCCTTCGTGTTTCTTTTTCATTTCGCTCATTCATGCTTCTCTTTGCTCCTTCGTGCTACTTTCGGCGGCATTGCCTCAAGCACTAGATGTATAGTGTTTCGTTCTTCTACTGTGATTCAGGTATCCATGTTCCTTCGTTCCCTCCTTCTCTTCTTTGTTTCTCCTTTGCCCTTTTTCATACCCTAAAAACGCATTTTTCCTAAGTTTTCGAAGTTTAATTCAATTATTCTCTTTTTCTCTCTTCATTCTTTATTTTTCTTTTCTTTTTGCCCAAAATCTAAAATACCTAGGGTTAGCCAAATTGGGGAAATAGCATTGTGAACACGAGAGAGAGGAGGAGGGATCCTTCAATACCAAATCCCTAACAAGCGTGTTTAAGTCTTACAATCCACACAGAGATAAGAAGAGATCAAATGAAATTACAGGGAGTGGAAGAGATTAAATAAGGGTGCGGGTGTATTTTGACCTTATAAGGAACACAAAATTTAGGCTTCAAATTTATGTTTTTTGGAGTGAAGCATCTTAAGGGCTACAAAACTGGTTTGCAATCCCGACCATCAAACTAACCTAGAAAGGCAATAGCGAGAAGTTGCAATATGCTGCAAGTTGCAATGTTCAATGACAAAACTAAAATATTTCAATCTACAGTAGATAAAAACTCAAACAAGGGAGAAGATCACGATAGCCTTACATGTCAAACTGTGATTTTGACTACAATGATTATTATTGTTTAATTTTTTGTTCTTTTCCATTTTATATTAATTTGACAAAGCAACAACTTTTTAGAAAATATTTGGAAATGCTTTAATTAAGTGGGGCATTACTATGACTGTGGTTTTCAGGTTAAAGTTTTCATTATACAAATACATCATGCTTTATGATTTTCAGGGTAGAGGATTCAATGTACAAATTAATTATGCTGAAGAACCTGTCCAAGACTACGTTCAGGCTGTTGTTTCAACGACACTCTTGATCCACGAGCGGGTATTTTAATCCCTTACAATGAGATGGAATAAATTCAAGTAATGCATTTTATATTTGAGGCATTTTAATCACTTCAGTTTAATTACATGTTTTGTTGCTAAGTGATTACATTAGACTTGATCATAGATTTTAAACTGAGTGTTTATTTGATACATATCATAGTAACTGTAATATAATTTTTGAAGAATATCCCTTGTATTTTCTCAAAATTTGAGAGAAGTTTCATCAATTTTTATGACACTTATTGTCTTTTTTAAAATTTTATACAAGTTGTTGTTTGTTTATGAAGAATTTAAAACATTTAAATTTTCAATATTTATTGGGTTGATAGTTTCCTAGTCATGGTACTGTATGAATTTTAAATTAACATTAATTATGTATTTTCTTTATTATTTTAGTTTATTAGAATTTTCCTAGTCATTGTGGTTGATTCTAGCTGCCATCCTAGTAATTTTATTTTTAGAACTGTTCCCTTCATTCTTTTTTTCCACCTTAAGCAGATTTCTTAGATGTCTTCAAGTGTAATTTTCTTTCATGCTTAGTAACAGATTTCTGATATTGAAAATTTGGTTGTGGCTCCAATATCTAGGGCCTCTACTAGACAAAGAGTTGGTAGGGGTCGATGAGTTTCACCAGGAAAGTGTTACAGGTGTTGTTTCAACTATTTACTAAAAATGTTTTCCTATAAAATATGATTTGTTATCCTAGTTTCCTCTTGCTTATGATATAAGAGATTGACTCTTATATCGAGTAATGGAAGGTGACTCTGTTGATCTATAATCATCTTCTTATCTATGTAATGACAACATGCTTTACAACATTCCCCTTTTAAAACATTTTTATTATATATATTTGTCACTGTTGACTCATCATTATTCCTTCATGATCCATTCCCTGATTAAGTCCCCTCTTCTTGCTATGTTATTTTGTCTAGATTTTCAGTTTGATTGTTGTTTTAAATTTACATGATATGTTTGCATTATATCATGTTACTTCAGGTTATACACCTGGTCTTATGTTCTAATGTGTTACTAACACAACCATTAGTTGCCTGATTAGTCATCGACACGGTGGCTTCATATTACTTTATGTTCACATATCTATGATTTAATTGCCTTTTTTCTTTTAGTAATTAGAAAGTGCTCAATATGGTGTATTGACCAATCTCTTAACCACTCTTGTTTACAAAATCTTTCTTTATATAAATGATTATGTTAAAATTTTCAATTATTTTCAGGTGTGATCTTATTCTTTCATACTACTTGGGAATGAAATTTCTTACATATGAAAGGAGTGAACTCAAATTTTCATACCACAGACCAGTGACGGTCACATACATGGTAGAGGTTGAGATTGAAAGCCCTGAATTTGATTGATGTAGAGATTGAAAACGAATAAGTCATGACAAATTTAGTTATAGTTGAAATTTGAACATATGTGAGGAAAATTTGATGGGAAAATTTATGTATCCTTATAAAAATAAACAGAATGTAGATATATGTTAGATAAGTGACAAGTATTTTCCATATTTAGTTGTATGGAGAGATGATTGCAATTGCAACATGCAAATAGGTGATACATATGTAGAATGCATAAGATAAACTTTNTGGGAATGAAATTTCTTACATATGAAAGGAGTGAACTCAAATTTTCATACCACAGACCAGTGACGGTCACATACATGGTAGAGGTTGAGATTGAAAGCCCTGAATTTGATTGATGTAGAGATTGAAAACGAATAAGTCATGACAAATTTAGTTATAGTTGAAATTTGAACATATGCGAGGAAAATTTGAAGGGAAAATTTATGTATCCTTATAAAAATAAACAGAATGCAGATATATGTTAGATAAGTGACAAGTATTTTCCATATTTAGTTGTATGGAGAGATGATTGCAATTGCAACATGCAAATAGGTGATACATATGTAGAATGCATAAGATAAACTTTATTGTGTTATCTTATTATTAGTAAAAAAGATTTTAGTATAATTGTGAGAAAATTTTATAGTTTTTTGTTGTTATCAAATATGAGTATGATATTGATGAATTATAATATCTAAATATTGTTGTAAATTTTAATTTTTTAATACATCCTTTAATAATTTAATTAGGCATAACATTTTCATTGAGGTGTCAATATCAAGAGTTATAGATGACTAATTGAATACCGATTTGTAATTGTCATATTTTATTCATACACCAAAAGTAATGAATATTTTTTTTGAAATATTTGTTTGTCATATTTTTCTTAATATTTTACATGTTTTTGTATATAAAAGAACCAATGAATAATATAGGTTTGTACGTAATAAAACTAATATTTATATATTTTTTTTCAAAAAAATATTTTATATTTTTTGAAATATTTTATTGAAAATTAATTTTGAACTACAAAATTTTTTTAACACTTATTTCACATATAAGTGATGTTCATGCAATGACTATGACATTTATATCAAACTTCAATCCCAAATATCATTTTTTTCTAGAACCCTTATGAAAAAGCTACCTTAAAGACTAAATAACTAGAGAATTTAAGTAAAGATTTTGCACATGCAGGTCACCTTTCCAAATGACATTGATTTTGAAGTTCATAATTTTTTTAACACTTATTTCACTTATATGTGATGTTGAGGCAATGATTATGACAAGGAACTCCAAAATGAGTGTCATCTTCGTAGCCTGAAGTACACACTTATTTTGCTTTTGTTACCAGTGTTTTTTATGTACCATGAGTTTTACTAAATATGGTTTCTTGCTCATGAAATTCTATATAAATGACAATAATTGGTTCTAGATCACTTTTAAGTTGAAAAAAATTATGAGATATATATTAGGCACTCCAAAATGAGTGTCATTTTCGTAGTTGACCCTCCTGTGTAAAACTTTAGCATGAAGTACCCACTTATTTTGTCTTTGCTACCACTGTTGTTTCTACACCGTTAGTTTTACTAAATATGGTTCTTTGTCCATGGAATTCTATGGCATAATAATTGGTTCCACGTCACTTTTAAGTTGAAAAACTGATGAGAAATATATTAGGCACTTCAAAATGAGTGTGATCTTCGTAATTTACCCTTATGTGCAAAACTTTAGCCTCAAGTACCCACTTATTTTGCCTTTGGTACCACTATTTTTTATGCACCATGAGTTTTACTAAATATGGTTCCTTGCCCATGGAATTCTATATAAATGGCATAATAATTGGTTTCAGATCACTTTTAAGTTGAAAAAATGATGAGAAATACATTAGACACTCCAAAATTAGTGTCGTCTTCGTAGTTGATCCTCCTGTGCAAAACTTTAGCTTGAAGTACCCACTTATTTTGCCTTTGCTACGAGTGCTTTTTATGCACCATGAGTTTTACTAAAAATAATTACATGGCCACAAAATTCTTCATAAATGACATAATAATTGGTTTCACATCATTTTTAAATTAAAAAAATTATGAGAAATATTAGACACTCTAAAATGAGTGTCATCTTCGTAGTTGATCCCCATGTGCAAAACTTCATCATGAAGTACCCACTTATTTTTCCTTTGCTACCACTGTTGTTTTTGCACTATGAGTTTTACTAAATATGATTCATTGACCACAAAATTCTTCATAAATGACATAATAATTGGTTCCCATCATAATTACAAATAATAACTACTTTTAAATAATAAAGATTTACAAATACATTATTATTAATCTTACCACTTTAACAAAAATTAGTGATGGAGAATATAATGCATTTTACTCCTGGTTCAAACATTTAATTTGTATTAAGAAATTACAAAAATATATCAAATTGTATGTACAAGTGTGCACATGGAGAAAAAGTTTAGTGTTACAAAAATATATCAAATTGTATGTACAAGTGTGCACATGGAGAAAAAGTTTAGTGTGTTACAAAATTGTCATGAGTAAAGACTTTCTTCTTGACACTTCAAAAATATGTTATAGTGTACAAATAAATTTTATATATTTTATAAAAATAGATATAATTAACATGTAAATGAAGATATACGTAAGGTTTAAGATATTTATACGGTTAAATCTTCTTGTAGTAATATGGTTACACTAGTGGAAAAACAACATATAACGTCACGCGTTTAACGTCTAACCACTAAATAACCAACATTAAAAATGATTGGTGGCAATTTTGTAAATAAATGCAATTATTAAACGTCGTTTAGAATTATAATTCAATGTAAGGCGATATAAAACGTCGAATACCTCAGCGTTAGACGTCAAAAGACCAGTGANGATTCTAGCTGCCATCCTAGTAATTTTATTTTTAGAACTGTTCCCTTCATTCTTTTTTTCCACCTTAAGCAGATTTCTTAGATGTCTTCAAGTGTAATTTTCTTTCATGCTTAGTAACAGATTTCTGATATTGAAAATTTGGTTGTGGCTCCAATATCTAGGGCCTCTACTAGACAAAGAGTTGGTAGGGGTCGATGAGTTTCACCAGGAAAGTGTTACAGGTGTTGTTTCAACTATTTACTAAAAATGTTTTCCTATAAAATATGATTTGTTATCCTAGTTTCCTCTTGCTTATGATATAAGAGATTGACTCTTATATCGAGTAATGGAAGGTGACTCTGTTGATCTATAATCATCTTCTTATCTATGTAATGACAACATGCTTTACAACATTCATTCACCTTTTAAAACATTTTTATTATATATATTTGTCACTGTTGACTCATCATTATTCCTTCATGATCCATTCCCTGATTAAGTCCCCTCTTCTTGCTATGTTATTTTGTCTAGATTTTCAGTTTGATTGTTGTTTTAAATTTACATGATATGTTTGCATTATATCATGTTACTTCAGGTTATACACCTGGTCTTATGTTCTAATGTGTTACTAACACAACCATTAGTTGCCTGATTAGTCATCGACACGGTGGCTTCATATTACTTTATGTTCACATATCTATGATTTAATTGCCTTTTTTCTTTTAGTAATTAGAAAGTGCTCAATATGGTGTATTGACCAATCTCTTAACCACTCTTGTTTACAAAATCTTTCTTTATATAAATGATTATGTTAAAATTTTCAATTATTTTCAGGTGTGATCATATTCTTTCATACGACTTGGGAATGAAATTTCTTACATATGAAAGGAGTGAACTCAAATTTTCATACCACAGACCAGTGACGGTCACATACATGGTAGAGGTTGAGATTGAAAGCCCTGAATTTGATTGATGTAGAGATTGAAAACGAAGAAGTCATGACAAATTTAGTTATAGTTGAAATTTGAACATATGTGAGGAAAATTTGATGGGAAAATTTATGTATCCTTATAAAAATAAACAGAATGCAGATATATGTTAGATAAGTGACAAGTATTTTCCATATTTAGTTGTATGGAGAGATGATTGCAATTGCAACATGCAAATAGGTGATACATATGTAGAATGCATAAGATAAACTTTATTGTGTTATCTTATTATTAGTAAAAAAGATTTTAGTATAATTGTGAGAAAATTTTATAGTTTTTTTGTTGTTATCAAATATGAGTATGATATTGATGAATTATAATATCTAAATATTGTTGTAAATTTTAATTTTTTAATACATCCTTTAATAATTTAATTAGGCATAACATTTTCATTGAGGTGTCAATATCAAGAGTTATAGATGACTAATTGAATATGGATTCGTAATTGTCATATTTTATTCATACACCAAAAGTAATGAATATTTTTTTTGAAATATTTGTTTGTCATATTTTTCTTAATATTTTACATGTTTTTGTATATAAAAGAACCAATGAATAATATAGGTTTGTACGTAATAAAACTAATATTTATATATTTTTTTTCAAAAAAATATTTTATATTTTTTGAAATATTTTATTGAAAATTAATTTTGAACTACAAAATTTTTTTAACACTTATTTCACATATAAGTGATGTTCATGCAATGACTATGACATTTATATCAAACTTCAATCCCAAATATCATTTTTTTCTAGAACCCTTATGAAAAAGCTACCTTAAAGACTAAATAACTAGAGAATTTAAGTAAAGATTTTGCACATGCAGGTCACCTTTCCAAATGACATTGATTTTGAAGTTCATAATTTTTTTAACACTTATTTCACATACATGTGATGTTGAGGCAATGATTATGACAAGGAACTCCAAAATGAGTGTCATCTTCGTAGCCTGAAGTACACACTTATTTTGCTTTTGTTACCAGTGTTTTTTATGTACCATGAGTTTTACTAAATATGGTTTCTTGCTCATGAAATTCTATATAAATGACAATAATTGGTTCTAGATCACTTTTAAGTTGAAAAAAATTATGAGATATATATTAGGCACTCCAAAATGAGTGTCATTTTCGTAGTTGACCCTCCTGTGTAAAACTTTAGCATGAAGTACCCACTTATTTTGTCTTTGCTACCACTGTTGTTTCTACACCGTTAGTTTTACTAAATATGGTTCTTTGTCCATGGAATTCTATGGCATAATAATTGGTTCCACGTCACTTTTAAGTTGAAAAACTGATGAGAAATATATTAGGCACTTCAAAATGAGTGTGATCTTCGTAATTTACCCTTATGTGCAAAACTTTAGCCTCAAGTACCCACTTATTTTGCCTTTGGTACCACTATTTTTTATGCACCATGAGTTTTACTAAATATGGTTCCTTGCCCATGGAATTCTATATAAATGGCATAATAATTGGTTTCAGATCACTTTTAAGTTGAAAAAATGATGAGAAATACATTAGACACTCCAAAATTAGTGTCGTCTTCGTAGTTGATCCTCCTGTGCAAAACTTTAGCTTGAAGTACCCACTTATTTTGCCTTTGCTACGAGTGCTTTTTATGCACCATGAGTTTTACTAAAAATAATTACATGGCCACAAAATTCTTCATAAATGACATAATAATTGGTTTCACATCATTTTTAAATTAAAAAAATTATGAGAAATATTAGACACTCTAAAATGAGTGTCATCTTCGTAGTTGATCCCCATGTGCAAAACTTCATCATGAAGTACCCACTTATTTTTCCTTTGCTACCACTGTTGTTTTTGCACTATGAGTTTTACTAAATATGATTCATTGACCACAAAATTCTTCATAAATGACATAATAATTGGTTCCCATCATAATTACAAATAATAACTACTTTTAAATAATAAAGATTTACAAATACATTATTATTAATCTTACCACTTTAACAAAAATTAGTGATGGAGAATATAATGCATTTTACTCCTGGTTCAAACATTTAATTTGTATTAAGAAATTACAAAAATATATCAAATTGTATGTACAAGTGTGCACATGGAGAAAAAGTTTAGTGTTACAAAAATATATCAAATTGTATGTACAAGTGTGCACATGGAGAAAAAGTTTAGTGTGTTACAAAATTGTCATGAGTAAAGACTTTCTTCTTGACACTTCAAAAATATGTTATAGTGTACAAATAAATTTTATATATTTTATAAAAATAGATATAATTAACATGTAAATGAAGATATACGTAAGGTTTAAGATATTTATACGGTTAAATCTTCTTGTAGTAATATGGTTACACTAGTGGAAAAACAACATATAACGTCACGCGTTTAACGTCTAACCACTAAATAACCAACATTAAAAATGATTGGTGGCAATTTTGTAAATAAATGCAATTATTAAACGTCGTTTAGAATTATAATTCAATGTAAGGCGATATAAAACGTCGAATACCTCAGCGTTAGACGTCAAAAGACCAGTGAATTCAATAAAAATTTGAGCGGGAGATTGAAAATTCATTCATTTCATCTTAACGCGCGAGACCTTCTTCTCTGCTCAAACTTTTCTCGAACGAAGTTTGACGACCATCACATGTAATCTTTCTTTCATTTGATACAAATGCATGTTAATTAACTACTTAGGTATGATTTTCGTTTGTTTTCACCGATTATTTTCGTGTTTTTGTCCTTCATAGGCGCATTTTGTTTTCTCTCTCACTGGTGGCAACACTTTATTCCGATGAACCCACCTTTTAAAGGTTAGTTTTCGTTTTGAAGAACTTATTTGTTAAACAGGTTAGTTTTCGTTTTGAAGAACTTATTTGTTAAACTTGTTTGTTGTTTTTTTTTTGTTGAATTTGTTTGTTGAATTTGTTTGTTGTTGTTTGGTTGAACTTGTTTTTTGTTTGATTGAACTTGTTTGTTATTGTTATTTGTTGTTGATCCTATGCTTTTCAGATTTTGTAGAGTTGTTAAAAAGAATTACAATTAATTAAAAAAATAAAAAAAATTGATTAACGTCGTATATGTTCAAAATTTGACGTTAAATTAGTGTCGTATATTAACAAAATTCGATGTTAAATTAACATCAAATTTTTTAAATTCTACGTCAATTTAACGTCTCCCGGTATGATGCCGTTCTCGAATTCGACGTGAAAAGCAAAAAATATTCGACGTTGTACGTTGTTTTTGTACTAGTGTTACCAATAAACAACTTTTCAAATTAAAAGAATAATTGTTAAGAACACAAACTAGAATTTGATCATTCTTTTTACTTAAAAGAAGAAAAATCAACATTTTGTTTAAAAAACAGTAAAGGAACTTAAAACACATTTATAAATAATTAGAGAGTATTAAGAATCCACTTAAATTCATTTAATAATGTTTTAAAGATTTTATACATGTATATATTTTGCATTATTTAAAAAAAATAGGTAAAAAAATAGGTTAGTACTTCAAAGACTAAATATGAGCATACATAAAATTTATTTCTATATATTTTTCATTTTATTATTTTTATTATTATTTAGTTTTATTAAAAAAATATTTTAAGATAAAGTGAAGGATAATTTTTCATTTAATTTGACTACTGTAATAAAAAATAAATTTAATTACACAAATATTATGGTCTGAAAATATTTACCTCCCACCATATCAATGTTACAAGAAGAAAAATACAGTAGACAAGGTTAAAATTTTCATCAAGTAGAATGTAAATTGTCAATCATACATAACTTTTGCTGATCAGTCATATGCAACTGATATTCAGAGTAGTAACTTGGTACATATGAAGGAGAAGGTAGATTTGCCATGAAGAGAATGAAAATATATTATAACAAAAGAAATGCCAAGATAATAACTTTGTGCTGCTTTTATTTCTCCCTAACAGCTTCGAATGATTATGCCTTTCTTGACAAATGCAAATCATGTAAGATGAGAACACACTCTTTCAACTCAACTGGTTTGTAACCCGAACATTCAAACAAGAAAGAAGTCTGCAAAATGTTCTCAAAATTGAGTACTTGAAGAGCATTTAGATTATTTTTTTAAATTAAAATTCTATCACCATCCATTGTATATACTTACCTAAGGATGCACTTTAGGATCAATAAAAAATCTGGCCAGAAATAAAGCGGAAGCTGCTACAACAGAGGGCAAAAATCTTATACAATCATCATCCAAGAAACTTAGCTCAACAAAATACCAACCCAGAAATTCAATCTTCGAATTTGGAGTCTGAAATATAAAAAGAAAATGTATGAACGCAAAGCTTTTGTAACAATAGAAAAGAATGAGAAAACCAATTCAACTCACTTCTTGATAATCAGGAGCAGCACCAAAGAAAAACCTGAAACAATAATCACACCTGAGTTAATCAAATTATATGAAGGTTAGATATTCATATTTGCATATAAAACTCCCACCTCAAAAATGTGATTGCAGTAGTCTAAGCATGAGGGACAACGTCAAATCAAAATATTGATAAATTCGGTAGGACTTGAGTTTCAAACTTGATTTATTGGTAGTGTTAAGAGAAAAAATAAATAAAATAAATAATAAGCCAAGTGAACAAACAAAACCAATTTGGATTTACCTAAAAGCTAGATGATGATACCAAATCATGCATGCAACAGTCATCCAAATAGGTGTATAATAGTTTTTCAATTGAATGCACAATCATAAAAGATGACACAAATTAAATCTTTTTTTTGGGGAATTAGACTAAAAGCTCAACCACTTCTAATTTAATTCAAGTCTTTTCTTCTTCTTTATTATACCAATTGTTTCCATGATGCCAATGATGGTTCCTCTTCCAGATTGACCCTTGGAAGAGCACCCATTGGTTATTATTTATTGTTTACGTTCAAAAAGTCCCAACTTCTTGTTGTGTGAAAACTGAGAATTTTATTTGGAATTACACGGACAACTCCTAGGAAATCTGCATGTAAATAATGTAGACAAGGAGAGAAAGTTATTACTACTTGCTTGGGAGAGCTTTGATTGAGATGTGATAAAGTTCTCACTCTAGGAAAGCAAAACATTCAAATACTCCACCAAGAACTCATCATATACAAATCCCGTAGTACCCAAATTTCTACCACATTCACTCATCATATACAAGTGCAATCGTTTTCACATATTCATACCTTGGATATAGACTCAACTCGAAATTACCTGCAATGAGCTTAGTTTGGGGCTGACTTCAGCGAATCCAGAAAAGCTTGACTTAAAACATTATCAAAACAAACTAATAAATTTTTAATACAACACATTTACCTACATTGTTTTGACCTTGTTGTTCAATGGAATCTGTAACTGTCGTTTCATTGTACAAAAGATAAGTCAAAATAATCCAACAACAACCACAAATCCAAAAAATTGAAACTTTGCACCCAAAAATCACAAGAACCCAAAATGATCAACAAAAGTTCAAACCACAGTTAAAGGTACCAGTAAACACAACAACCCCTAAATGGTAAAAAAAATTAAAAACAACTCAAATCTACCGAACAAGAACAAGGATTACCAAAAGGAACAGCGAGAAGCTTCAAAAACCACATCCAATGGTGGTTTCGCCCTTTGTTGGTGCTTCAAAACGGTGGACGGCGACGGATAAGGCTCTGATTAACGGCGAGAATCCGATGAAAGGTGAAAAGTTGACAACTACCGGTTATGCTCAGACGACACTTGTGGTTGGGAAGACGCTCTCTCAAGGGTTTTCTAGCAAGAATGAGATTTCTAATTTTTGAAATACCAAAATGAAACCTCCGCAATCAAAACTCCTTAACTCCATCTGACTTTTATTTCCATGTCATTTTCAATTTTTAAAATCTTTTTCACATAGATCAATTAGACCGTGACACGTGGCTTTGTCAAAATGTTTTCAAATATTATTGTTAAAGTATCATCCTCCTTTATTTTTATTTGAAGTGAATTTCCCATAAGTATTTTGTTATATAGTCTAACTTTACTCAATTTGTTTTTCTAAGAAACTATAATTTGACATCTTGAAAAACTCACTTTAATAACCTTATTTTTATTATATACATATATTCATACTTTAAATGAAATAATAAAAAATAAAAAACTGTTGATATAATTAATTGTTACGTAATTAATTTTACAAAATATTAAAGTCTCTTTGTTTAACTTAGACAAGACAAATGTTTGATGATGGGAAAGTTCTTAATTTTCAAAACTTAATAGTATTTTTTTGTTAGTAATTTATGTCCTTATTTTTTATTAAAATGTTAATAGGTTTTCTTTATAAGTTTTTCCTAAATTATTGCAAGAAGTTAACAACCTTGATCTCGTAACCAGTTTGATAACTTGAATTATTAATTTAAATTGAAAAATATTTAAAATTTATTAAACGTGTATGAGAATATTTTTTTATTATATAAAAAAATGTCCTTAGAAATCAATTTCGTGTGGATAAATTATGTTTGATCTTAAAAGTTTGTGAGGTCAACGATAATTACGAATTATGTAAATAAACGGTTGATGGTATGAAAAATAAAATAAAATAATTAAATTAATAAAGTTATTTTATATAAATTGATTAAATCATTTATAAATCAAAAATTATTTAAGATCCCTTACTAACACCAAAATTCAAAACAACTTCAACACAAAGAAGTAAGTCAACCAATATATACTATAATTAGTAATTACTTTTAGTCTCACTTTTTTATTCCATTAATAACTCAAATTAATTATGATTAGTTATTTGTTTTCTTTCAGGGAAGAAATAATATTTTTGTGCAAAATGTATCCATCAATTATATTTATATATATATATATATAT